TTAAGTAAGGGGAAGATGTTAGGTACCCCTCAGTTCAATTGTACTTAATATGATCCTTCTCTAATTTTAGGGTTGATGTGCTTGCTTAAGGTATTTTTGGTTAATTATCTATTATTGCTCAATATATTTATTTACATGGGATTATTTCATTATTATTTACAAGAAAATTAAGTTAACAATTTAATAAAATAAAATTTAATCAAGAAGAGGACAGAAACAAAGATTTTTGTTATTGTACTCGCCAAAGTGTTATAACTCTGTACCGACGTACCCTCAAGCAATATGAAGGATCAGAACACCGTAGTTCATCTAGAAAATATTTATGCATTTGTTGTTTTTAGATTTTGAAATTTCTCAATGCATCGGGATGGAGAAATGTTTAACTTAAAAACGTCTCAATCCACAAGGGCATAAAACATGAAATTTGAAGGAGTTGATTTTGATTTTTCTAGATTGATTACATTGCAAAAATATACTTATAAACCAATTTGGAAAATAGATTGTTGGGTTATATAATTGTTACTTTGAATAATAATTTTGATAAAATGTAATAACAAATAAAAGGTTATCAATTATTTTTTGTATTTTTATTTGTTAATTATAAACCCTAATTGTCCTAATAAATCTTAAACTACCCTAACATTACCCTAATTAATCATAAAGTAAAAGTATTAATCATTTTTTGGGATTTTACTATAGTAAATATAAAAAGAAAATATTTTATTATAAACTATCCTAATTATGCTAATTAAATTACTTAATTTCAAATAATTCTAAATATTATAACTAAATAATACAATTAACTTAACAATAATCCTAATTAAAATTATAATTATAATAGCAAGAAAATAAAATAAATAAAACAGACTAGGGCTGTGAATTTCATTAAAAGGTAATGGGCTTATAAAAAGGAGGGTGTGAAAAATAAATATTCCAGGGCCATGAATCCAGAAGCCCAGGGTGCTGATCAAAGCCCACGCGAGGGAGAGTAAAAGGCTGACTCTCCTTTGGATGTTGGATAAGTTGAGCAGACAGTCAACTTAATCAAATGAGGGGGGTTGGATTGGCTTACTAGATGCAGTGATCTTAAAGGAAGGTTATGATTCAGAGAAAACTGAGGGTCCAGGGTGTACAGACAAGCATGGAATATGTCAAAGTCAGTAGACTCAGTGGCCAGCAGGGGGCACATGTCTATGACTTGGCAATGTATTGGAGGGAGTATTTAGACCATTTCCCTTCCCTCTCTCTCTCTCTCTCTCTCTCTCTCTCTCTCTCTCTCTCTCTCTCTCTCTCTCTCTCTCTCTCTCTCTCTCTCTCTCTCTCTCTCTCTCTCTCTCTCTCTCTCTCTCTCTCTCTCTCTCTCTCTCTCTCTCTCTCTCTCTCTTATCTTACTCTCGCTCTCTCACTCTCATCCTCTCTGCTCTCTATCTATCTATCTATCTATCTATCTATCTATCTATCTATCTATCTATCTATCTATCTATCTATCTATCTATCTCTTTCTCTCACTCCTCTCCAGCCATCATCTGTTCATAACAACCACCCCCAAAACCACCATGTCCCCCAATTTACGAAGGAATTTCAACCGAAAACTTCATACCTTCATCCAAAAATCCCCATATCCCTTCAAACCATATGAACCCAACCCCCCTTGAACGCTAACCTAAGTGATGAACCCTAACCCTAAAAATGAAGAACCCTAATGCTAGTTTTCCAGAAACTCTTGAAATCAAATCTAAATATGATACAAACATCAGTCATTCATAAATCTAAACCTTCTCATTAGCAATCAACCATTCAAAACACAAAATCAAACTAAAAAATTCAACAACCCAAACAAACCCTAAATCCCCTATAACTCATTAAGATTATGCAATCATTATTAAACACAAACAGATAACCAATATACACAAGAAAATACATCAAGAATAAGGAGATTATATGCCAACCTTCAGAGAGGATGAGTTATTCGGTAGAGGTAAAGTCCTATTTTCTTTTACTCTTTTGATTCTTTATGTGGATGCAAGGTCTGATGGAGGTTAAGCTTGAATGACCTAGGGTTTTACTGAAAAACCCTAAGCATCAAAACTCAGTGAAGCTTTTGTGAAGTTTTGGGGATTGCAGTAGCAATGTTTAGGATTTTTTTTCCGTCCTTGATTCAGAATTAGTTTTAGGTTTATATATGTTAATTTTTAGGTTTAAGTTTTAATTATGGGTTTTGTTTTTAGAAATTTGTAATTTGAATTTATTGTAATTTGAATCAGTTAGAAATTAGGGTTTTTGATTTGTAATGTGTTTTGTCTTATTCGCTTTGTAAATCAAATATGTGCAACGTGTCTATAATTTTGATTGGAAGGATTTGATTGAAAATCGATTTTGATGCTTTTGATCCCTTTCTGATTTTAACTATGCGTGACCTAGGGTTTGTGAATGTGAGTTGACTTAACCTGGTACTAATATTAACCAAGTTCATACATTAAAATTAAATAAAATACTAATGATAATATTGACCATAACATATCTGAACGGCGATAGAGAGAGCAACAATGGTGGTGGGTAGTGAGGGCATTAGTTTAGTGAGAGCAAGTTTTTTGTGACGTATGGTTTCTACTTTCAATGTTTGGAGTTTGGTTTTTAGCCGCGTATTCTGTTGAAAGGAAGGAAGCATAAACAAAAATGGAGAATTGTTAGCAGTTCCTAACAACTAAAACTAAGAACCGAACCAAGCAACTTCGATTTTTATTAGTTTGGTTTTGAAATTGAACCAAAACAATCTTTTCTTTAGCCTAGTTTAGTTTAGATTATCGATTTAATTGGTTTTTTCTGATCCACTTTCACCCCTAGCTATCAGCTATAAACAATCCGTCACCAACTAAGTATCAATTATTTTTATCAAACAAAGCTTTAATAGCTCTCACAAATTTTGAAAATACACTATTGCCCGAGCAATCTTGTTTAAAAATTTATAAAAAAAATGCATTTTATGACTAATTAAATACGAATACATATCCGCTTCAAATCAAATGACGAGGTAGCATAACCACGTCAAACTAAAAGGCAAGGTTTTTAAGAGACTACAGAGTCACACTAAAAGAAATGATGTTGACTTTTAAAATATTACTCCTTCCATTCTATTTTAAAATGATTGCCATTTAAAATTTTTACACACAAATAAAAGAATGTAATAATGTTGGCATAAAAATTACACTTTACTAAATTAATTATATAAATGTATTAGAAATAATATAATATAGAATAATAATTAAAGAATACAATTGAAAAATATCAATAATTTATACATTTAAAAGTGAGAATGACATTGATTTTAAAATAAAAGTTACTTGATAAAATGAGAATCATTTGAAAAGGAGGGAGTAATATATAAATTGTTAGTTTTTGTTTATTAAGATATTAATTCTTAATAATAATATAATAATTTCATTTAAATTATTTAATTTAGTAAGATTTAAATTCTTTTGATTTGTATACTTTTTATTCAAAATTATTAATGATATAGTTTTTAATTTTTTTTTGTATTTATTAAATCAATTCAATTTAACTTATAATATATGAAAGGAAATAAAAGAAAAAATAAATTAAAGACTAAATCACACCCACGCCAAATAAAGCGGTGTAAATATCTTAAATTTTTTTTTGTCTTTTTATAGTTTTAGATTTATTTTTTTTGAATGAAAGATAAATAAAAAATATTTTGTAAAAATGGTTATTTTGTTTTATAAAAACTCTCTTTTATTATTGGAGCGTGCTAATGTAATAAGGGAGATGGCTTAAATTTAATGGTTAGATAGACTTGGTTGAAAAGGTTTAAATTCAAGTAACCCAAAACATTTAAAAAATGATTTAATTAAAATATATTAACAGTATAAAATAATTTTATCTTATTAGTTAATTATAATCGTTAAATATTATAAAAAATTTATCTTTTAAATTCTATTACACTGATAATATATAGAGTCATTAATCTCTTAAAAATACAAAATTTTATTAAACATCAAATTTCATATATTTAAAATATAATAGAATATATTTAGAGAAAACAAATAGTTAATTTTAAAATACTTTATCCATTATATTGAATGATAAATTTATTTGTTTAGTTCATTTTAATTTATATATGTTTTTAAATATTCAAATTATAAATAATTTTTTATTAAAATAAAAAATGCTAATAAATAATAAATTTAATAAATACATTAAAAATTATTATTACAAAATAAGAATGGTCATTAGTGTTGAAATAAATGAAATAATAAAAAAATAGATTAAATTAAAAAATAATATTAAAAAATAAATATCATCGAATAATAAATTAACATAATATAAATTGATTTGGGAAGTTTAAATTTGAACACCCTTATGTCTATTAAATTTATATATTTATTATTTAATACTATATTAATTTTTATTTTAATTTGTTTAATTAAATTCAAAATTTATCTACGATATATCAACAAAAAATATACCTTATCAATTTTACTTTTTTTGTTAGATAGAAACTTAACCTTTTTAAAAAAATGAAATAGAAATTTAATTGGTTTGAGTAAATATTACTCCACGTAAACCCGAGTAACCCTAATAAAAGATGATAAATTTAAAAAGCTGCATAGGCTGCGGCTGGCGCGTGGTGATTAAGTTAATTAATAATTATATGTAAAACAGTAAACTAAAAATAACAAATTCCCGCTTAACCCAAAACTTTTCAATTAAAAAAAAATAAAATTATTTTCCTCCCTCCCTAGTCCTTCCCTCCCTCCAAGACGCAATCCGAAAAACCCTTCCGAAACCAATTTTTGGATCCAAAAAAACGCTCGCTTCATCCAATTTTCAAATTCCCACCCCGCCACACTCTCTTTCCCCTTTTCTTTAATCTTAACGGCTTTGTCGTCTTCACCCAACAACACCATCATCGTTCTCTCTCTCCTCAATTCATCACTCTCTCTATCTCTCTCTTCCCTCCAAATTTTTGAATTTCCAGATCCATGGCTTCTTCCTCAGATCCTCCTTCTTCCAGACACCACACCTACGACCGTAAACAAAAATCCCTCGGCCTCTTATGCACCAAGTAATTATTTACTCACTCTCTTTCTCTCTCACGAATTCAATTCTTTTATTTCTTTTTCATATTTACGATTCTATTTTCCGATTGCAGTTTCTTGAGCTTGTACAATCGAGATAACGTTCATTTAGTCGGTCTCGACGACGCTGCCGCCAGATTAGGTCATTATTACTGTTCATTTTTTAATATTAATTTTATTAATTAAATTTTAAAAATTGAATCGAATAGTTCTTAATTTTCAGGTGTTGAGAGAAGACGGATCTATGATATTGTCAATGTTTTGGAGAGCATTGGGGTTTGTTTTCTTGGTTCTTTTTAACGTTGTTTTTTTCCTATGTTCTTTCGTGTTCCAATGTTTTATTTATTTATTTATTTATTTTTTGTTTGTTTTTAATTTGGTTTTTTAGGTTCTTGCAAGAAAGGCCAAGAACCAATATACATGGAAAGGCTTTGGGGCGATTCCTGTTGCTTTACAGGAGCTCAAAGTAATTTCAATTTGCTTTCTGATTTTTATATTTTCGGATTCAATTTTTTATTCTTAAAATTTTGTAATGGGTTTATAGGAAGAGGGTTTATGGAAGAATTTCAATTCACAAGAAGGTGTGAATGAGGATGTAAAGGTGAGTTTTTTATTTTTATTTTTTTTACAATTTGTAATTGTATTTGAAAATTATTGGTGTTAATTGCTTTTGTGATTTAGATATCGGATGAAGACGATGAGGAAGAATCATATTCCCAACCTAATGGAAGTCAGAGTGAATCATTATCATTATCTCAAACTAATGGAAGTCAAACCAATGGAAGTCAGACCAATGGAAGTCAGAGTGACAGTCTGAACCCTAATTCTAGTTTTCCCAGATCTATGAAAAATGGTATGTTTATTACAAACATGTTTTAAAAATCATGAACATGTGTTTTTATTATTTTTGTTCTGGTATGTATGGTATTGTTTTGTCTTTGATGTTAATATCTTGAATTGATTCTTGAAACTTTAATAACAAATGTGTTTGTTAACATCTTGAATTTGTTTTTGAAGCTTTAGTGTTAATATCTGTGTTTGTAAATGTCACATCATTCATAGTATTACGGAGAAACCAATCAAAATTTTAGTTTGAGACTCATATTGGTTGTTCAGATATCATATACCTTGATTGATATTAGCCTAGAATGGTTGAGAACTATGTTTTTTAAAGCCACAGCACACTGAAAATGATAGTACTTGCTGCAATTTGTTGCTAACTCTTTCTACTTTGATGTTTTGCAGATAGAAGGGAAAAATCTTTGGCACTGCTTACTCAGAATTTTGTCAAGCTTTTTGTCTGCTCTAACGTGAGAGTTGTCGAATATCTTGTTCATTCCAACTTGATTTATGTCTTTATTATCCATGCAATATGTTAAACATGTTTATTAACAATAATAATCACTCTACTCTATAGCTGGAAATGATATCCCTTGACGATGCTGCGAGGCTGTTGCTTGGAGATGCATATAATTCATCAACAATGAGAAGTAAGTTATAAAATGATTCACCAACTTGTTTGTTATTGTTAACAGTAGAATCAGTGTTGAAACTTTGCACTTACACTCCTATTTGATTGTCCTTTCAGCAAAAGTTAGACGCCTTTACGATATTGCAAATGTGCTAACCTCCATGAACCTTATTGAGAAGGTGATATTCCTATTCCTCTCAGTTTTTGTTTTATGTTTGTTCGTTCATTTGTTTATTGATTATTGCTACTGTACAAAGTTTTTACGTGAACTGTAATTTTACTAATTGATGCAGACACATACCACTGATACACGAAAACCAGCATTCAGATGGCTAGGCTTGAAAGGGAAAACATGGAGTGAGGTATCGCTTTACAATTCACATCAAACCGAGTCTAAAAAACGGGCATTTGGAAATGATGTCACAAACATTAGCTTTGCAAGGAATAGAACTGATTTGTTCATGTCTGGAGACTTCAGTCAGAGCTTTAAGAAGCAAAAGACAATAGAAAACGATAGTGGGCTTGGTCAGGAAGATAAAAAGCAAACTTCAACAAACTACCAATTCGGTCCTTTTGCTCCGGCCTTCGTATCCAAATCCGGAACTTCTGAGAATACTAAAGTGAAGCAGGTGCATGATTGGGAGAGTCTAGCAACTGAACATTCCCCTCAGTATCAAAATCAAGGCAATTAATTAAGTACTTTAATCTTTTGCAAAACTACTAAAAACGATAATTTTCTTTTGAAGCTTGTAATCTTAAAACAGTGGCTTGATTATTAAACTGATGGGTTGTTATGATTTGCTATTGATGCAGCTTTGAAAGAACTTTACTCGCACTATATGGAAGCATGGAAATCTTGGTACTCTGAAGTTGCTGGGAAGAGGTCAACACAAGTTTTGTAACTTATAAATCCAACAAAAATCAAATAAAATAGCTTTTTCCAAAAGAGATTATCCATTGTAAGATGCATTCTAGATGTACCAACTTAGAGCTATAATTTACGTTTTTTTCTTTTTTCATAGCCTTATATCAGATTAGGCGATATTTGGAAATTCTATATTACACCTGTTTAGTGTTTATCAGAGTTTCAGCCATTATCTTGTCTTCGGCTGTTAATTTAAGAAAGTCTTGAATAATTTATTTATAAGGAACGAGATGGTTCTTTATTTCATTTTTCTCTCTTCAAATTGGTCATTTAATTCTATACACTAGATCATAATTGCATGGATCAATCATGTTCTTGGATGAATCTGATATTTTATAAATGAATTAAGTGACTAAAGTTATATTCAAGCGAGTTTGGTTTTAAATGAACAAATAAATTTTAATTAAATATTAACTTTTTATTAAATTGTATTTATAATATTAGAATTTTGTATTAATTATTATTTGATTCATGATTATCATTCAAACTTTTGATTGGTTATTGTCATTCAAACTATTTTGTATACAAAGTTTAGTAAATTTAGTTAATACTATTAGATTAAAAGATAATTTAGGTAACACTATTTTTCTGAGCCGCACACGTCTCACGTTTTTTTTATTTTGTTTTAGAATAAGAGAAAAAAAAATTTGGAGATTTTTTTAATTTTAATTTTGAGAATAGAAAATTAAAACAAAAGTAATGTAAAAATGACTAACATTAAAGAAACATATATATTATACTATCCTAAGTGCATTTAATTGTCTAAAACTAGAATGTGGTACTAGTAAATTTTATTTACTTAAAATTTACTAGTACCATTTTCTAGTTCATCTATTAGACAATTAAATGCACTTAGGATAATACAGTATATATGTTTCTTTAATGTTACTCACTTTTACATTACTTTTGAATACTTCTTCCTCTTTCCCTTCTTCTCAAGCTCTTACTCTTAGTGGCGCAGATAAAGTCTTTCTTACGACGACTTAAACACAGCGCTCTGATCTCCGACCTCCAAGGACCCAAGCAAAGGATTTACTTCGCTAACCTCCAGCTTAACCGAAGTAAATATTATAACAGAACTGGACAGGGCATACCTTGAATACAGATCAAGATTCACTCATGCACTCTGGAGCTTACTTAGGAAAGCTAGCCTTAGCCCAAAAATAAAGGAAGGTAGCCGAGCCGAAAGCCCTACAAAGAATATCGCTTATGAACAGGCCCAGGGGTTGTCAGTTGATAAGGAAGTCTTTATTGAATTGATCATAGAAAAAAAGGATAGAAATGGAATTGGTTGTTTAAGTTGGAAGATCTGATGTTTTGAGCGGAGAATCGGGTTCTGCTAAGCAGAAAAGCCTTCTCTAATCTAATCTAACGAGTCGATTCGAAATGGGAATGGAGTTTGAGGCTAGTGGAGCAAGCATGAATAATAAAAGGAAAAAGCCAAAATGAGTGGAAAGAAATTCAAAGCAAAACCACCACCACCGAATAGAACCGACGAGTAATATCCTGTCCTTCCCTACCTACTGTATTCAAGCGAACAAGTGCATTAAGCAAATCACTTTCCCCTAGTGGTACACACTACATGAAATCAATGCCCAGACAACTATGTGCGTAATCTATATATCTATCCTTATTGATTTCTTTCGCCTATGGAGTGTTAGGGTATTGCGAAGCTTCCCACTAGAATAGACTCGATATTAAGCACAAGAGACGCTTGGGCCTATTACAGACAGGCTCGCAAGCTTAACACGATGAGAAGGTTCCCCACTTAACCCGAGTTTTCGGGTAGAGTAGTGGTCTCCATGCGCCCATCGGTTATAGCCGTTCGCTAGTTGGGGGCAGGAGACAACCTTTAAGATAAAGAAGGTCTACTGGCCTGGTACAGTGTGGTTTTGTTGGATTTCTCCGTCGCGTACTTTCACTGGCCCTTTGAATCGATCCTGAAAGACTCCCCCATAAAGAGAAGGTTATGCGCTGTTTAAGCTCGAAATCTGAACTTTCACAACCACCAACAGGAAGACAAGTCAATCAGTATGGGAAAAAAAATATTTTTCTAGTCAAGTTCCAGCTCTAGATAGGGAATGACGATGGAAAGCACGAGTTCACCACATCCACAGGATAGTTCTGTATGTCCTGGAACAACAACAAATTTCTATCACTCCATAAAGCCCATGCAACTACTAGCATCAGTTCCAGCTGCTCTTCATCAAGACACTTCCCCACCTCCTTCACCCAATCTGAGAGAGAGCCTGCATCTGTTGAGTATGAAGGGCTAATGGGCAGAGTAGCCAAATGCCAGATGCCCAGGGGCAGCCCTTTAAAACATGAATGGTAGATTCAGGCTCCATTCCACATCTGTCACAAAGCAGGTCAACCTCCATATTTCTTTTCCCATTTCACTCGTCTTGCATAAAAAAACCCACCTAAATCCACATCTAAAAGGGAGCCCGCGATAAAAATGCCTCCTCTATGAGATCTCCCAACCCCACCTTCATTTTTTTCCGAATTACGACTACTCGACTTTTTTTCCCTAAGCAAAGATCTAAGGGGGAGGAGCTCTTCTTGCGTAGTATACCTTTTCCCATAAATTCCAGGCTCGTATTAATAACCAGTATAACCCCGGACCTTTTGAGCAAGCGCTATGGAGATAACGAATGCTAGCGTTAGCCCAACCATCCACATTGCAAGAGCTCTGGGTGTTCTTCCCATTGAAGCTTCACTGGCCACCTCCCTGGCTTGCTCACTGAGGTGGTCTACTAGCTGCCTGACTTCTGCGGAAGAACTTGCCGGTTCCCCGATTTGCGTTGCCTCCGCCAACTACTGTAACTCAGGGATGCTTGGGGGTCTCTGTGCTAGACAGTCCCACCATATTGCGCACCCAAGATATAACGCCGGTAAGATTAAGCTGAGAACTTCCGTGACGTGCTGCCCTTGCCCTGACCCCGCCTGTGAGTGCTCTGTTGCCCCGAGTGTACCTGTAGCTCTCTGGTCTTGACCCACGCACTGCCTAGGAGCTTTTTATCTCGTAATGCCCCGTAGGCCTCTCTCGGGTGACCTAAGCATTTGGTACTTTGATCTTTTATTAGGTTGGCGCCAGATAAATAAGGGGCTCAAGAATCCATTCCCGCCGACATCTTAGTATATGCCACTCGTTCCGTTCCTAGGAAATTCGACCTGAGGCCAAAAATCAGTATATGAAAAATCACTAGATGACAATCAAGTCCCTCTTTCTTTATTCAAAAAGGCTTTTCGCCCTCAACTTTGTGTCAATAATGGAATTCGGGGAGAAGAACCAAAACAGAATGGTTCCACCTACTCAAAACCAAGCGGGGATGCCGTCTAATACTAAAATCCCGGTTTTTGCAACAACAGTTGCGTTATTCTATGCAAGAAGAATACTTTGAAAGAACAAAGAAGTTTGGATCCGAAAAAGTATGCTTAGGCAGTTCCTTCGCTGAGCACAACAAAATGAAGAGGAATTTTGTATCATTTTAAATCCTTATTCTTATCGAAGAGAAGAAACAAGAAAAACCAATATCTTCCTACTCGAACAAGAAGTCCTATAGTTTACAACTCTTCTTTATATAGTAATTCGACCTATTGCTCCTCATCCCCCCATCAGTTTACTATGAAGAGAAGAATCAAAAGGATCAAACTACCTACTCATTATTCAGAGGTGAATCATAGAACACCAAAAGCGGTGGTATTTTATGGACCTAACATAGATCACATCCCTCACAACATAAGATTGAAAGATCCAAACCTTCCTCTTCGGAGCGGAAACAGACGTGGCCAAAACATATAAAGATCATCGCTCAAAGGGACATATCTATCCGGATAGAGGATAGTCTAGATCGATTCATAGATAGATTTATATCCATATAGATAGGTATCTCCGTGGATAGAGATAAAGATAGGGATCCATCTAGATCTTGCTTGATTCACTATTTCCATTTTTTTCTTGATTCTGATTGATTGCCTTTTTGATGACAAGTTTTAAATCTTAATGCAGGCAAGGTACGTAGTTCTCGACCGTAAGGGAGAAGGAAAGATTTTAAATTCTTACTTGCTGGGTCGGAACGTAGACGAGCGAGCAGAGCCCAGGATACAGGGAAGCCCGCCATAGAGCAGTCGACTAGAAGTAGAAGACTGCTGGCCTGAGAGAAGGCGGCCTCCCTCGGGAAACATGGCCCAATTTTCTTCTTTCTTTTTTGATTACCTTCTTTTAAGAAAAGTTAAGGATTATGCACGTGGAATACTCCTTTCCATTTCTTCTTTCTTTTCTTTAAGGGAGCTGTTCCAGAAGTTGCACTTTCTTTCGATGTTGGTCCAGGCCCCCTATCCATTGGCATTGAAGTAGGCAAGGCCAATCCATCTGTTAAGTCAGCTGGTTCTAGGTTAAAAGCTAGTGTAAAATATGTCTTTCTCATCCTAAGCCCTAAAAGTGCTTCCGCCTTACCTGGAGTTGAAGTTACCATTGGAGGCCTTTGAGTTCCAGTCTCAGTAATGGTCTTCCCTATATGTACATAGGAGTAGTTAGTTGCGAGTGTCAGATAAGATAAAAGTGCTTTAAAATAGGATAAAGATGAATTTGACCATCCCAAGGGAAAATGAATGGGAAGGGGGAGTCTTAGCTACTCTTCAGGCTAATTATAAGAATAGGATGACTTACCTTTACTGTAAGGCTTTTTAAAAGCCTACTCCGAGTAAACTCGCGATTCTTTCTTTTAGGCGGACAATTCTCTATATCGACTATCTCGAGGAGGGAATTCCTTAAGACTACCACTGCCTCTGCCGCTGCTGCAGTATCCTCATTAGATATAGATTCAGATACTACTCTTTGTGACATATGTTTAACTAGCCTTCGGGTGGAAAAAGATTAGCAGTTAAAGGAGCCGCATCCAAAGCAATGAAATTGTGTTGCGAAAATGAGTATACTATTATTTGTGGTAAATTTACTGGTATTCAATCAATTAGGTAACTCTTAGCAAGTGCTACAGGTGCTTCGTACTATATAAAAGTCTTGGAATTTTTCCTCTTCTTTATATCATATAACAATTTTTTTTGACGATTATGCTAATCCTTATGCTCTAACTAGTCTTAAAATTCTTTAAATTACAGGAAGAAACCTAAGAAATAACTTCAAAAGAAAGAAAGGGAAATAATAAGGTTTTATTTATCCTTACACTATTTGATCAAGGAGAAGGCGGGGGACCTGTAAAGCATCAACCATTTAAACGGATCCATCTTTTCTTAGTCCGATTCTTATATGTTGGGTGCCTCTTCCTCTTCCGCAGATTCAGATTAGTGACTAGGGACCTAGCTAGGCTCCTTGTCTTTACCCCAGAGATCTCCCTGCCCTTTCGATCTTACTTATTGACTTATTCTCTAATCCACCTCTAGGCATATTCCTTCCACTAGGGTTGCTTCATTCTGACCTATCTCAACAAGCCCATCTAAGAGCCTATTGAAATTCAATCAATGGCACATCGTCCGATTCGATCACTCTATTGAGTAGAAGTACAAGGATGATTCAACCGATTCCTAAGATCTTGAAGGGCGAAAGCCCAATCGAACATCAATCACTTCACAGATGCTATTGATTGAGTAGCCAACCCCAAAACGCAAGAATCAAGGGGAGCGGAAAGAAGCTTCACCGATTCCGAATCTAATATCAGGCTTCACTGGTAAGGTAAGGAAGCTCCGCAGCTCCAACATCGAATCAGGCAATTCCTCTTCTAGCCCTTGTGACATCAAAAAACAAAGCGAGTTGAGCACAAAGACTTTTTCGGAGATGACTTCTGTCAATAGGCAAGTAGCGCTCAATCGAGCGAGAGAAGATAGGGTCCCAACACTCGAAGACCAAGGGAACAAGATGTGAACTGGCTGGTTCTCGTGATCTCATCTACGCAAATGTTCTGATCTTTCTTTAAAGGCCGGTCCCAAGGCAGGAAATTCATCAAGGGATGGGGCAGTAACCAACCCCAAACGAAAAGAGGATACGAGTGAACCCGCTTACCCGAGTCCGAGTTGACGAGGTGAAAGAGTTCAGACTAGGACAGTTCAGGCCAGGCCGGTGGAAGCCAATGAAAGGGAGAAGCGTTCAAACACTAGAGCAAAAGCTGAGTAGAAGATAGCCCTTCTCTTCTATGATTCGGCCGTGAAAGAAGCCCACTTCACCATCTCTCTTGGGATGGGAAAGTAACCCTGATTCTATATAACATTCTTAAGAGAAAAGAACTGTCCCTGACCTACTTTGAGTCTCCGTAGGGAAACCGGCCTGGTAAGGAGGCTAGAGGAAGGAAACTGCTCAAGTAAGCTTGAAGCAACAAGGGCAGTGGGTTCAGTTCCCATGCGGGGAAGAACGTTCATAAGTAGAGCTGCTTCTGCAGTTCCAGGGATAAATTTTTTTTATAATCTGTTCTCAAAAGCAAGATGAGCTATGAGAAAGAGCAAGAAACCAAAGCGATTGGCTGAACTTACCCTAGCTCGAGCGACAGGGCGATTGATCAAGGGATACCGGAAAGAGGCAAACAACAGAACCTCCGGGTTTGAAGCTTTTCATGTCGGGGCGAGGTCAATCGAGGGTTTTGGGTCAGTGAAAGCTCGAGTGCCCCCTTCAAAAGTAAGGTGTCGGGAATGCAACCGGTGAGGTGACCCGTTCCGTTAGGGCGGATGAAAGAAGTTATCCTGAAGGAGCGTCAAAGGCCTCTGTAGGCCCTTCAACAGGATTTTTTGTCGTGTAGCATTCTGTTTTGGCTACTCACGAAACTCTTTATCCTTAATAGGAAGAACTCCCTTTAGAGGAAGGATACAAAGACCAAGCCTGTCTTTCTCTCTTAAAAAGGGCATATGAGGCAGAAAGATTATTTTAGGGGACTAATCTGCTAATGAATGAAGGAAGGAGAATGCCTGTCTATCCAAAGGTCCTCCTTGGGTGGATTTAGGCGAATCAAGTGGGAATGATCCGAGCCCCCTATGTAAATTTTAGTAAGGTAACTAAGGTTTTCAATAATTCATTTCAGTAGTGCGTTACCTTGCAGCTCTATCTATCGGGTAGTCAGTCTCTTGGTCAAAAGCCGATACCTAATTCCCCTGCTGGTGGGCCGATCCTTGTCTAGCGGTGGGAACCTGGTATAAATCAATTTCTTTCCAC